CACACACACACACACACACACACACACACACATAGACAAAATTCTTCCATTACATTGCTTATTCTTTGTTGCGTGTTGCAGAAGGACTGACTGTTACTACTTCAGTGCAGTAATGCATGCTTCATTCTGCACTATAATTATTCTCTACTGAAATGCATTATGCAAAAAGGACGTGATGATATGAAAGCCTAGAGATGTTGTCTGACGGGAGAGGGACTAAAAGTTTCCACTTGAAATGTATAAAATGTTGGCAATCAGTCAATCAGTGATGTAATGTTCCCACACATTTTGATAAAGCAAAGTTTTAAATTTGTTCTTGAAAAATTAAGGGTTTGCACTCAAAAAGAAAAAATCATGTTTGGAAATGATTTTTGTTCATAATTGAGAAGGTGCACGTAACATTTTACGGCTAGCAAGTACATTATATCCTGTATAGTAATGATAGCTGGAAATTATAATTCAAAAAGAGTAGAATGAAGTAACAGTGAGTCCTTTACCCTTTTATCATATTTTGATGAACGAATTTCTTCTTTTTTAACTTTTATATATTGTTTGATTCATAAGTTATGGATAAAGGAAGTGAACTTAAGCAAAGCAATTCAGAAAGAATGTAATCGGCTAAGGGTTCCATCTGCTTCTCTATGATAGAAGAGATATTATTGAAACCAAATCTACTCAACACATATGCATACAGGCGTAATAAGCAATCAGTTAATTTGTAGTGCAGCAGAAGCAGTTATTCGAAAAAATAATTGGATGGTTTCTGATTAATCAAAATGCTTTATGAGCTAAATACTTCAGAATGAAATCGTCTCTTATGTGCTTCGAACGTGAGGTGACAATTTAATAACATATTTTCAGCTCGATTCATTATCTATAAGAATCGCTCAATCGGCTCCGCTCAAAACGCTTAAATATTTTCGCGTGGCTGTACCACAAGCTCTTACTGGCCAAACTCTTGTTGCATTTTTACAGGTTTTCTTTTCCTTTTAATTCGCCACAAATTTATGTTCGTTTTTTGAATTCTGGCAAAGGTCTGATTGAAGTAAGTTAACGATATGGTTGTTGTTTAACGTTTGGTACTCTTGTTTCTCTCCCAGAAGTTCCATATGTGGCGTGTTGTCTCGCTGCTAACGCGGGGAAAAATGCTGCACTGCACGACCGCCCGGTCTTATGGCTTGGGTGATGTAATACAATGCATAAGAGCTTTTTGACTCCCAAAAAATTTTCTTCCTCTCTCCTCCTCTTTTCTTTTCCCATGTTAACTATAGCACACACAAAAAAATTGATTCTTGAATTATGATTTCTTTCATATTATGGATCAGGATGATGAATCAAGAAATTTCAGGAGTTGATGACTTTTGATGATCTCGCGGATGCACTACACTTGGCAACTTTACTTCTTCAGCACGGTTATATATTCCCTGTAATCGAGCACTCACTGTTTGTCAAGGACGATAATACATTGTATAGATTGCAGCTGCCATATTTCTGGCCCTCACATGCTACCCATACTGATAATGTAGAATATGGTAGGATTTTTCATTAATTATTGAAAGCTATCAATAATATCGATCACAGTTCAATAATGAGCAATGTTAATTTCATTTAACATTTTACTTTGTCGTTTATGCGTTTTAAAATACTGAAAGAGCTTTTTATTATTAAAGAACGTTTGGAGCGAAACCTTTATTGAGAAATGAAATCGAGGAAAAACTGTCGATGAAAGTGTTAAAGTGAATGTGTGTTTTTTCAGCATACCATGTTTTTTCAGCAATCTATCTTAATAAACGACTGATGCGAAATGAGCAGAAGCATGGCTTAGAAGAAGATGAAGTTGAGGCATATAATAAACTTCTTGAGCTTCTTGGTCATATGTGGGATTTTATTACTATTCAAGCAGAA